GAGCTTTCACTACTATTTGCCCTCATGAAGGACGCACTGCACTCTCTGTCCTGTACAGTACTTTTTAAATGTTTAACACATGTTCCGTAATACACGTGTGCAAAGTGCTGCAGGCTTTTAAGTAGGCGATTAAGTTTGTTTAAATAACAATCATGTGTAGCGTTAATGTTACAGTCGCTGCAATCTTCTGTCTACTTGTGGAGTATGAAGCTTGACGATAAAGGATATTTTATACTGTTGTCGGAATTTAGAATAACATAGTTTTAACGTGAGCACTTAATGAAACCGTGCAGAAACCGAAGCTGACAAAACTGCATCATAGAAGTGTCTTTTTTTTCACCTTTAAAGCATTTCAGTTTGCTGTCATGATGTAAATGTGTTCTCATGAATGTTCTTTCAATTTTTAATTTACTAAAAGCTGTCTACTTTGTATTTATTTATATTATTAAAAGCTTTCAACTAATTAAAGGTCTTGCTGTTTGGTTTTCCAGAACTTTTTTTTTTTTTAAACAGTTTAAAATAGTTATTTGGGTGGCCTAATAAAATATTTGTGGAATGCTCTCGTCACAATAACCTACGGATAAATAATTATAGAGATAGCTCTTGCAAATACAGTACTAAAAGTTTTTTATATCAATGTTAGTGATTTAAAAAAAAAAAAAAAAAAAAAGAGACGTCCATGTCACATATAAAGCTTGTAGGCGCCCTCTGCTGGCCCTTCTGCACACTACAGGCAATAACTGATAGAAGAAAAGTTCGACCACAAAAACTATTGAGTTCACAGTTTCATTTAGAAAATTACAGAGAAATTACAATCTTAGCATTCAGACGTTCCAGTAGCTTTCTGGGATCAATCTCAATAACAGATGCCCAAAAATCGCATTACATTCAGAAAGAATTCATGCACTGCAAATAAATACAATTGCATTGAAATCATGTCATGAAAATATCATCAAAAATCACCATATGGATTCAGTAAATCATGTTAAGGCTTTAAAAAATAAAATACAGAAATGGAAAAATAAGTGCATGCGTTTCACTAAATGTGATTAGCTCTTATGCTGTCATTATAGTGGTCATATAGGAAAAGTGTTTATTTTTTTTGTTTGTTTTTTTACATAGGTGCAATAAATACTGATTGTCTTATCATTCCCGCATACCATCATGGCTTCAGTTTTGGTCAAGTCAACTCCATGAGTACATCACATAGACCTGATGCTTGCAAGTATCAAGCAAAAGCTGCGAGTGAGAGGGAGGAATTATATGGAGGAGGATTAGGGCCAATTAAAGCAAAAGAGGAAAAAAAAAACCGTACCTGGTTTAAGTTGTAAACTTGTGAAAATTAAGGTGTCCAACCCCCCCACCCCCGAATTTTTTTTTTGATATTTTGGGGATACAGTTTGATATTATCCAGGGGGAAAAGGGCACGATTAACATCATCATGCTACGAAAATAAAGTTGTTCGTGCCAAAACAGCCAAAGTACAGAGTATTTTATTAATGTTTAAACCGATTGTTTAAACCGAATTAATTATTGTTATTAAAGTTAGTTGCTGCCCTATTTGCAAACATAAAAGACTCCTTCGAAAGATCACACCTCATTTTTCTTGAAAAAAAATACAATTTTGAATTGGTTTTCGACACCAAAGTTATGAATGGAACGTAATGACTTTTTTTTTTCTCTTGAAAAATATGAATTCTTTTGGCATTTAAGGGCACATTTTAGTTACATTTAATCAACGTCAGGATGACAAAGGAAAAAGCTTTCCCCTGAAACGAGTCCCTGAACCAAAAAAGTTTGAGAAACCTGCTACAGAAAACGGACAGCTGTTGTAACAAAAAAAAGCCTCTAGGTGGCGCCAACCTTTGCTTCCATTCATTCTTACAATGTGCTGTCGAGTGTGTTGTACTTGTCCTTAAAGTTCTTGAGCTCCAGCAAATTCCTGGTCCTCTTGATGCGCTGCTGTGCCGCCGACGTGAGGTGGGCCCGCGACGATGGGGAGGAGCTTACGGGCTCAGCGGGTGGGGTCAAATCCTTCGCGGCAATCTGGTGGCGCTGGCTTGCCGTGCTGCTGCTATTGCTACCGCTTCTGCTCTGGTTCTTGACACTGAAACCACAAGTGGGAGAAAGCGATCGCTCAGGGCTCATAATTAAAATTCCGCGGTCGGATTAGCGTCGGTGTTTACTCACACACTGGCCAGTTCAGTGAGAGCCTCCTGGTATTTACTGAGTTCTGCTTCACCAAAAGCCTGAGGACATTGTTCATGTGGTATATTAAAACGACTGCTAGAATGCTGAATGAGTGAACAAGCTGGCAAAATGTTTTGTCTGTTGGGTGTGCCTGCGTTTTCCGATGTAACTCAAAGCAGGATACACATTTTAAGAGAAGAAATTAGTACGCACTTGTTATGTTTTAAAAGTAAGTTGAGATGTTTAGGTTCATTGTGTGAGTACGATGAATCCTGCTGCCCCATTGCTCGTTCTAAAGTAAGAAGCGCTGCTATTTTGCGGAACTTTTTTTGTCGAGCTGTCATCCAGTTTTGTCCTTGATGTTGTGCTGATTCTACTTTTGGCCACTAGGTGGCAGCACACGATTGTTTAACACAGTTGCTCTTTTTGCTCTCTCTCAATATATGAAATGTTTTTGAAGTTTTGAGTGTACTTCAAGTAAGTGACATAAAAGCTATAAAAATATGCCTAGGGAATATTCAAATTGCCATTTCTGTTTATTTCTATATCGCGGAGTTCACTTCACTCATTGCGGGGGTGGTTTGGAACGTAACCCCAGTGATCGGAGACGGGTGCTTCACTTCATGCATATTAGGAGAGAGACAAAGAGTCTGACCTTGTCCCCATTGCGTGCTCTATTGTAGCCATCCAGCACCGTGTCAATCAGACCCTTCTGGCCGTCCCGGAAGAGGCAGTGTGAATTTTTTAGTTGCAGAAGCCAAGTTCTGAATCGTTTTCCCGTCACAGCAGTGGAGGATCCGCCCAGCTGTCAAAAAGGGAAATCTGGACAGAAAAAAAAAAAAAGGTTTGCCATCCATTTAAACTAATTCAAATAGTCATCTGCCAGGACATTTTTGTTTTCTTTACAGTACTTGTCTATCCTTTTCAGAAAAACATGAGGAAGCAGAGCCTTGTTTACACAGCCATTGCGGGTTCACATATTCATTTTAGAATTTTTTTTCACTAATCCGCTTATCCTCACAAGGGTTACGGGTGTGCTTTGGAGCCTATCCCAGCTGTCTTTGGGCACCCAAACACCCAGAACTGGTTGTTTGGAAAAAAACTATTTAGTGACCTGTGTGTCTGATGGCGTCCAATGCTCTCATCCTGTACTGGTACTCACAGGTAGCTGCAACACACACACACACACACACACACACACACACACACACACACACACGCACACACACACTTATTTCAAAGAATAGAGATATGTGTGTGTAAGACTGGATTGATAATGCAACCTAAAAGCAAAATTACAATTTTAATGGTCAAAATCTGATTTTCGTCCAGTGTCTATTTCCATGCATACTGCAAGTAACACACATACCAAATGTCGAACATGCAGACACCCAAAGTCTAATCTAAAGTCTAAAAAAAAAAAAAAAAGGATATTTGAAACTTGGTACATTTCTAATGTAGCATGTTTATCACATAGTGTAAATCCAGCCTGAATGTGTAGTACGTGATGAACAAACCAGATTTTAGCCGCTCATCCTCTGGAGACAGCAGACGAGGCTCAAAGTGGATTTTCTGAACTTGGCACAGTTTGGCTTCGATTTCTTGCCTTAGCTCCTTAAACAAAAAACCAAAAACACAATGTAGAAGCAGTACCAAGACGGTCACTTTGTCTTATTGTACTTCGGAAGGGCATGTTACCTTTGGAGCATTGTGACCAATGGGAACGTGGGGTCCCCGCCGAGATTTCATGGCCAGTCGCACAATTTGCCTTTTTACAAAAATGAACAGCAATACAAAGACCTAAAAGAAAAAAAAAAACAAGAATAAAACAATGGCTTCATCCATGGAAGGCTTAATATTGCACCCATCAATTGCCGCAATCAAAAATGAACAGCAATACAAAGACCTAAAAGAAAAGAAAAAAAACAAGAATAAAACAATGGCTTCATCCAGGAAGGCTTAATATTGCACCCATCAACTGCCGCAACAGAAACATGCCACCACTAGATTCTGATGATTACAACATTCACAGTTACAATAATGAGTGTTGTTTTGTATTTTTAGTCCTGGAAAATGGAAATACAGGAAACAAGTTCTGGTGTGTCATACCAAGAAGTGACATTAGCAGCTGTGGAGACTGTTACTGGACAATCATGACTCAGCTATTCTTAAGCAAGGGCTGAATAAATGTCGTTGTACTGAGCCTGACTTACCAGACTACCAAAGGCCATGACGAGCACGACGTTGACGCTCGACAGAGGAGAATCTCTTCGCATTTTACACTTCGACTTTTACTTTCACTCCCCCAAAAAAACAAAAAAAACAAGCGCGACAACAGTTGCAAGGGTGCGTACGCGTCTGCTTACGAGTCGTCTTTCGAGCGCGGAGTACGTCGCTACCGTGCAGCAAAACGACACTTTAAAATGCACTTTTAAAAAGTTATGGCTCGGAGAAATGTAAACGCTGCTTTTGAAGTTACATGTCGCCGTCGAGTTTGTTGACTACCGGGTTGGTCACGTGACGTCTGATGTTTAGTGACGGCTTCTTTCCAGCTGGTTGGGAATTTAACGTAACTTAACGCAAGAAATTAGAACAACAGCGCCATGAACAACACAATTTAAAACAATAAAGTGCTATTATACATGCCCATATCACCCCATTGTATTTGTGTTTTACCAAACCCTTTACTGTAAGGCAGGTCCAAGTGTTATACCTGTCAACCATTTCCCCATACAACAATGGCGCTTTTCTTCTATTGTGTGCTCATCCGTGGAAGGCCATCGAAAATCCATCACTTGGGGACACTGAGTGCTTTCTTGTGTCAAGAACAAGGGTGGGTGTCAGTGTTGCAGTCAAACTGACAGACTTTTTGTATAAGACATCAAATGCCTCTTGGCCATTGATTGATTTCAGGGTCTTGGGACATGGCCTGCAATGAGATCAATGCTGCCTGACTTTTGACACTCGTCAGTCTCTCTACAAAGGTGACATGAAAACCAGTCTGTCTGTGCCAGGCTGCCCATGCAAAGAATAATATGTCGACCGTCCAAGAAACAGCGTAAGTGGAACTGCATTTCTCATGTCTCGACATATTTATGTTTTCATTTAATTGAGTTGGAGGATTCATTGTATCGGGAAATATTTCCCATCAGTGTTTTTTTTTTCTACACATATTTACCGTAACTATGACTTTACTCCTGCATCACCGTAGTCATACGGCCATTTTGACTTGCATACGTAGCCGCCGTAGGAACGGAACTACATCATAAAACAGTGACCTGGCTGTAATCAATAATATGATGCCTACACCTATCGCAGAATGTGACACCAAATTCAGGTTGGATCCTTGAAATTCTGACTCGGTCATAATTGCTGGCCTCAGGTCACTTTGGCATTCGTGACTTGGCACGGTGTTATGCTACGACGTTACGAACGGTGTGCAGTTTATTGCCTAAATGCGTGTTTCATTCAAAACATTTACTGTAACTATGGCCTCATTTCTGTGTTCGCATAAGGTTAGTGACGATGGCGCGTTCTAATTTCGGTACAAATTTGAGATACATTGCTGCCGTAAGAACAAGCTCACTCGCCCAGTTTAAGATTTACATGTAACCAAAAAAAAAAAAAAAAAAACGTCAACATCCTCTATAAGCCTTTCTAGCCACCGTACCATTAGAAGCTTCTAGTAGAAACTGAAATGACCACCATGTGGTCCCAAAGCCTCAACCAAACTCAACCCAAAACCTCAACCAAGCATTTTTGACTGGCACCAATGTTCAAGTTGGAAAGACAGTATACCTGGTGCCATGTCTTTGACGTCTACATTCTAACACTCATTTGTGTCACAAAAATGACACTTAAACTTAGTTCAAAGGATCCACATGATCAGTCATGAGTGGCGCTGTCAACAGAGGAGCGATGGACAGCTACAAGCGCTCAGTGACGTGAGCGTTAAATATAACTATCGCTCCATTCCAAATTACTGGGAAGTGGGGGAAAAAAAATCCAGTTCTGACCTCAAAGTTTTCTCGTTAAAAATAAACTTAAAAACCCGCTGACGACTTCGACAAACATGTCACACGCTGACAACAACCTCATGATTTAGTTTGGCAGCCTCCTACGCTTTTTTGGCATAGATTTGTTCAAATGACTTCATGCAGTGCGACTGGAGCAACTTTACAGCACCGATTTGTGGTTATATTTCATAAAACCAATAAATGCAGATGAATATATATTTTTAGATTCTATTTTATTACCATTGTCGATGTCCTATTTCTTTATCGCGGTGAAGTCACGGCACATTGATTTTCGCCAACTCCACTGGTAGAAACTTCCATTGCAGGTTTCCAAGTAGGAGGTCGGAAATGTCCAAAATAACCTTCCGGTTTATACATTTTAAAAAAATATATGGTTGAAGTGAAAGTGCACTCGACTTTGCGTGCTTCTTGGTGATAGAAGACAAATGATCATCAAACGCATTAAAATTACTTGACACAACAACAACAACGTGTCATCGGTTAAGGGAAGTTGAGCGACATCCACACACACCGCTCTTTGGCAACTCCGTAATATGTCAGTGGCATTGAAACAGGAGTTTAAAGAGATTATCCTGCTAACGTTTCAAAAGAAGAATTAATGGAGGAATTGATTGTCGGTTTTACCAATTGTCTATCACGGAAATTCCTATTCTGTCACTATAATGACTATTGTCACCAGAGATGCCATTTAGTGGTATGCAAAAGTGCTGAATAGGCCTATAAAAGGCTTAGCCCTCACAACAATGCTCCTTATTACACAACCTGCATCTGATAATTTCCCCGTCAAGCTAACATTACAGAATGTATAGGCATACGTGCTCATGCTTTGTTGTGCACGTCAACCGAGAAGTGTACTTTTACATGCAGTTATCCCAGCTGGTATTTCTGCTGTCTACTTGAGCCCATTGTGTTGTCTGTTCCCAATTAAAGTACCTCTGTCATTATGTATTTGGATCCCCGCCAGCCTGCACGATCGGACTCTGGTTAGCCTGAGGTACGTAGAAATTGAATGAGTCTTAATTCATGGTGAGATTGGCGCAATCAAGCGAGCTGAGGCGTGTTTCCCATGATGTCACACCCAGCATGCTTGGAGATGGATGAAAATGTGTGTGCGTGTGTGTGTGTGTGTTTGTGTGTGCTCACTGGGCTGTTTAAAGAGCTACACATTAAGCTTACACCAGGAATGTGAGCCTATGAGATGAGGAAAAGAGTGAGAAAACAACAACTGAAGTGGGAGGAGAGAGAGAGAGAGAGAGAGAGAGAAAGGAACAAAGAAAGAGAGAGAGAGAGAGAGAGAGAGGACAAGAAGACAGACCAGTGTGGCCGGTTTGCGTCACTGTAGACATCCCAGTGTGCAATGCTAACAGGCAGACTGACTGAGTGAGAGAAAGATAGACGAGGAGCTGATATCATCGCCTTCCCTGTAAAGCCTCGTCCGACTTACAGGAGTTGACTTGCGACGAAGGTAAGGCGCATATTTGAATCCCTGGATGGAAGAACACATTTGAATGAGCAGGTGTGTGTGCGTGTGTATGTAGTCGTCCGAGTTGATGTGTACATTTGAGCTTTTTCTCTTATTTCCATGGTCAGTTGCTGTGAGTTTGAATTAGAGCGAGCCACGTTGCCCAGGTTACCCAGATGGGCGGCTCATGATCAAGCAAAACAGGTGTATCTGTAAGATGACACTCGCTTGCATTTGAAAGCTCCACCGGGGAGACTTATGCATATACATTTACGACTTCTTACAAAAATAGTATTTATCGAATAAGTACGATTATTAACCAAAACCATTTGTTCAAGTGCTATCTCGGTTTGCCGACAGTCAAAGCTGGTGCCACTGCTTTCCTTGTCCATCTCTGTTTTGCTCATTATGGACTGTACGTAAATAAATACATGTGTCGTTATCCACTTGATCTGATTATTTCTTCCCACCGCCAAGGTTTCGGTGAGTTGTTGACTACCTCTAGGTGTGTAAGAATATGCGCTGCACACAGACTGATTGTGTCCCATTTCGACATTGTTGTGCCTCACTGGATTGCAGCGGAGTGAGTTTTTCCAGTTTTTGTGTGCAGGTTGAGCTGACAGTTACAGTATGAGCAATGCATGTTGCTAGTGTAAACAGCTGTTATCATGTAAGACGGCGCATTGTACAGCCTTGCATGAATGGACTCATTTAAGTGGTGTTTTTTGTTGTTGTTGTTTTGTTTTGTTTTTTTTCCCCCCGCATGATTTGAAAGCTAATCTTGGGCCTTTATTTAATCGAGTTGTCTCAGCATTCCTTGTCTCTCTCCACCCATTGGCCATTCTGTGCAAAGTTGTGTTCCTTATCCTCAACCGCTCTGTGATTTAAGTTTGACCATTGTTAGAAGCCACAGCTGCCACATATCCACATATCGCAACATTCCATTTCGATTTTTTTCATTTTTTTTCTTTCTTTTTTTATTTTTTATGCTTGGCAGGCTTCAGGAGCTCGTAGTTCAAGCCCTGCTGGGGAACTAAAGGCTTCCATGGACAGAACGACATAGAAATGACTACAACCAGACAGCCGACCATAGCATATAGGAAATGAACAACGTTTAATTCATAGCAGCCTGCATGAATATAGTGTAGGTGGAACAAAATGAACTCAAGCTGCTCAAGCTGCTTGCAAAGAAAAGTCTAAATAAATCCAGTCCAGTCATCAATTCTCTTTTTCGGGATTTGACTTTTGTCAGGTAGTCATTAACTTTGTTTATGTTCTGACAATGGATGTGTTCTTGCTGCATGCTCCAGTGACTGAGTATACCAATCAGAGGTCTTTGGCATGCTTAACTGTCAGATCGGCCAACTCGCTCTCTGGCAGCCTCCCTCGCAGGCCAGGTGTTAGGAAGGACCGAGCTTCATCCGCAGCGGTGGTGTCCAGAGATGTGGAAGTTAAAGAACGAGAGACAAAAACTGGATTCAATTGTTCAAGCAAGCGGGCCAGATCAATCGATGGTCAAGATTTCAGGGCAAGAGCCATGTCAGGCTATCAAGCATGGACAGTGAGTTGCAAAGGTTGGAATGAAAACAAGGTCTTATCGGGTAGCACAATCTCTTCCAATCGGACTCAAAATGAGAAAATAGACAAGAAACCCACAGACTTTGGCATCAACAGAGGTCGAAACCCTAACCCTGCATTTGAGAATCGGAATGGGACTGGAGGAGAATGGAGGCAGAATTTGCCAAGTAGAAGTAGGAGTGTCGACTGGAAGTCAGGGGCAAGCAGCCCTGATCGAGAAACACGGCGATCCAACATAGCTGCATTGCTTTGTGACGAAAACAAAGAGAGTGGGAGGGATACTGAAGGCCTGAGAGCCAGCTCCACGTCTTCGTTTCAGACGTACAACTCTGCGGGTGTTTCTTCAACTAGTCAGAACAATCCAAAGACTTCAAGACTAAAGTCGGCCCCGGAAGTCATCAGTGACACCATAGAGACTGGTTCTTTTGGGACTAAAAGAGGCCAGAGTATATTGGAGCGTATCGAGAAGCTTTTTGGCCCATCTAGAACTGAGGACTTCAGCAAAGTTAGGGATTTCTCTTCCCTAGAAAGAAACTGGAGTTATGGAAGGGGTGGAGCTAAAGTGCGCCATCGCTCAGTCATCAGCAGTTTGCCAAGCTCATGTGACGGAGAGACAGGAGATTTCACCAGTACACTTCTCGACACCAAGACTGGGGGCTCCGTTACTTCACCATGTCCGAGGACCAGGGCAAGATTACCAGAGGGACAATGGGAAGAACGGATCTATGGGAGGTATTCTGACCATGGTGGAGTTAGCGCAGTTATCGGGTCTATTGAGACAATGTCTCTGGACCGAGCAAGGAGCAGGAACACCAGAGCTCGTCAGATTAGATCGGACAGGGCTGCCGGCTCAAAGGCTTTATCACAGAAGACATCTTTTTCGGGACTGTCTGAGACTAACCGGATAATTGGGACGCAGTGGGAAAAATATATGCTGGATAAGGGAAAGACCGCAGCAGAGCTTGAATTAAAGGTTTATGAAGATGTGTTTGAGCCCAATCTGAACATCAACGGGGTAGGGTGGAGGGTTCACCCTAATACGTATTCCCCCTCGGTCAGTGTCAGAAACAAGATCAATCAGTTTGAGGCTCTGACACAGAAAACCCAAGCTTTTGCAAAGGGCCAGAACATGATGGCCCGAAGGGCTTTTTCTGTGCCCACAAGACTCAACACTGCCCATGATGGCTTGAAGAGTGAGTCAGAGAAAACAAGCGGTATTCTAGGTGACAAGTCTATGGGCCTGAGAGGGTTGGGGGAGACGGATAGACAAGCTGAGGCGAAAGTAGGTCAACTGAAAAGTCAGCCACAAAGGTCTTTGTCTGTGGACGAGATCGGACAAAGGTCCGCGGGTGATTTGACAAAGATGGAAGGGGCAAATATGGATCGTGTTTACAAATACACAGATGTCGGTAACTATTCTAGGTTCAAGCATACAGTAGGATCACCCCTCAAAGAAGTTCGTCACTTGTACATAGACGAACCAGACTCTTGTATAGTCTCAAGGGATAAGGACCGGAGAACTAACAATACCGAGTCATCCATATTGCTGAGCTCAAGTGACCCTGAGCCACGCCCGTATGCCGAGCTGTCTGGGATTAAGAAAGCAAAATCTCCCGTGATCATTTTAGCAGTTACTGATGATGACAAGACTCCAACTAACTCTCCGAACCACTCACCCTCAACCTCTCCTATCCCACCGCCAAACAATGGCCCTCAGCTTCCAATGACTGAAAACACAAAAGCAACCAAAAACCCCGAACGAGAACTTCCAACCCCCGTGCAACCCCTTTGCGCCTCTTCCCACAGCAAGTTCTTTCCCGATATCACTGACAGTGATTCGAAAGGGAAGAAAAACGTGTTGGACTTGGATTCTTGGGTTGCTGGCTTTAAGGCCTGGAAGCAGGATGAAGCTTTCGACAAAGATGATGACGACGACGACGACACAGAGAAGGATGACGATTCTTACTCTGATTCAGACTCTGGGGAGTCCTCAGTTACCATCACCAGCAACATGAGCCTGTCAGATCGCAGGAGCTTCTCTCTCAGGTACGTACAGAAAAAAAATAAGAATCAAATCAGTCATCATCATTTCCTTACTCGACAACCCTCGCCCCTGCAGCCTGGCGGAATTGTGTCACTTCACTGGAGCTGACTCAGAGTCAGAAAACGACATCGACGAGATCCCGGCGATGGGCAGGAGGTCGGCTTCACTGAGCTCCGAAGTGTCTGCGCTGTCATATGTGTCTGTGCTGCCCAGCGAGGAGCTTGACAAGCTGCTGGAGGATGTCAGGAGTCTGGGCGACAGCAATCTGCAGGTGCTCAGAATGTAGACATTTCATATTTCGACTAGCCTGTTGACACGACTCATCCCGTCCAGGGTCATACAACTGGGGAGCCTTTCCCAACTGGCTTGACTGACGGGTACCACTGTAAATGATCCCCTGTCAATCACAACGCTGATTTAAATTCCTTCCCAAGTGCAATTAGCGTGGAAAGATAGCTGTGTGATGATTCTGTAATGCCTGGAGTGGAAGGTGAAGGGTAACTCATTGCAGAGGCACCTGGCAAAGTGTCGTGGCCCCTGGTAGCACGGCCGGAGCTCCAGCAAAGGTGGGCAGGCAAAACTTAAAGGAGGCCCAGCATTCCTGCATAAAATGGTCACGTGGTACAAGATGAGATGCTAAATTGTCACCATACTTGACCGTGATTGTCCACCACTTTGGCTCACACAACCAGTCCAATCCCGTTTCTTGGCACTTTGTATTCACCAGAAATCAAGATTGCTCATCTAATGTTTATTCTTAACACTATCAAGACTGCTGATCAAACTTCTATTTCTAACGCAGGATGATGTGCATGTGGTTGTCCTCCACAAAGAGGTGGCGGTCGGCCTGGGCTTCAGTATCGCAGGAGGCGTTGACCAGAACAAACCAGTCAGTGTGAGTAAAATACCTTTTATAAAAAAAATATATATATATTGTCTCTTGATTGTGTCTGGACGTTTTTTTTTTGACATGTGGTTCTTCACAGGTCCACAAGGTGTTTCCCACCGGTGTGGCAGCACAAGAAGGCTCCATCAGAGAAGGCGACCAGGTCTTATCCATCAACGGCACTGCCCTGGGGAGCCACACTCACTGGGAAGCTCTGAGGGTCTTGAGACGTGCCAAGACTCGAGAGATGGGAGTGGTGGTACTGAGAAGGGGCGACGTTAGGAGCATCTCGAAAGGGGACGAGGGTCAGACTGAGGAACCAATGCCGACTCAGACTTCAGAGACTGGTTAAATTCATTATACAGTGGATATAAAGTCTACACATCCCTGTTTGGATGCCAGGTTTTGTGATACAAATGAAACGAAGATAAATCATTTCCAAACTTTTTCCACCACTGATGTCACTTTATTTAATGTTAATGTTGAGAAAAAAAAAAATCTCTATTTTTGAGTAGGGAAGTAAAAATGTACAAAAGCGATAATGTGGTCGCACAGGCTCCTATAACTGGAGATGTTTCAAATTCCTGTTAAATGGGATTTAGCACACACCTGCTGCCCTTTAAAGTGCCTTTGATTAACCCCAAATAAAGTTCAGATGTTCTGGTATGCTTTTTCTGACGTTTTTCTAGTCTCATCTTACAGCAGTCTGCAGAGCGGTTCCACAGCATCAGAGGGGTCTCATTGCATCTCATGGCTCGGCGGCATGGCTCGGTGACAAAGTGGTCGTCTCCCAACCCAGAGGTTGTGGGTTTGATCCTTTGTGACCATGTCGAAGTGTCCTTGAGCAAAATATTGGAGCACCAGTTGCTTCTGATGCTGTGTCAAAACTTGAAGTCAGCGTGAAGCGCTTTGAATGCCTTATTGGTGGCGTGATATAAGTGAAAACTCCAAAGGTATTGGGAGAAATAATTTACCAGGCATTAAAGACCATAGAACACAGTGAAGATGGTCATCATCACGTAGAAAATATGACACAGGACGTGACAGTTAACCAAGAACTGGACTATCTCCAAAACTGTTGCAGAGATGAGAAGGAAACTGGTCAGGGAGGACGCCATGCGGCCGAAAGCAACACTGAAGATCCCGCAGGAATTTGGGGCAAGTACTGGGTGATTAGAACATGTGACAACAATCTTCTTTCTTCTTTATACGTCTGGGCTATGGGGTTGACTGGCAAGATGATCTTACATGCTTCCCTTATCTTTAAAAGGCAAAACATCTGGGCCTGGCTACATTTTGCACTTCTGGATCAGCCAAGCGCATGTAGGAAATGTGTTCTGATTCGATGACATTAAGGTTGTACTTCCTTTTAGAGGTCTGTTGGGCACAGTTTTGTCTTAACACTAATCAGCGAAAGAACACTAGACCTACAGTGAAGCTCCGTGTGCTCTGGAGCTATTTTTCTTCAGCTGGACTAATGAACAGTTCCAAATACCAATCAGTGTTAGCATAAAGGCTTGTGCTAAGCAAACAACTTATTTTGGGGGTTAATCAGAGGCACTTTAAATGGTGGCAGGTGTGTGTTGGCTCTCATTTAACAACTTGAATGCCGGTGGTTCATTTTTATTTGGTTTGCGAGATTTTATTTTTCCTGTTGTTCCGGCTGTAGGTCACATTAATGGTGCTGAAAGGTTTGAAAGCATTTATGATTTTACAAAAACTGGGAATTTCAACAGGCTTTTGGAGACTTTTCGTATCCAATGCACATGTTTGAATCTGAAGCAAGATCGCTGTTGTGTATTTAGCTATTTGATTTTGTCAGGTCAGTGTATACGTGTGCATCTGGAGAAGAAAAGTAGAGATCTGGGATTCAGTCTGGAGGGAGGCTTCGGTCTCGGGGACAAACCACTCACCATAAAGAAGATCTTCCAAGGTACCTTGACTAAAACCTCAAATGTAGGTATATTATATAGTTCATTTCATTGACCTTTTCTTCTCCACAGGTGGCCCAGTGGACAAGATTAGTCCCGGTGACGAGGTGATGGAGATCGAAGGCGTGAGCATGGTGGGGATGAGGCGTCTGGAAGCCTGGGCTTTGATCCGAGGACTTCCCTCCGGACCCGTGGATGTGGTAATACATCGGCCCCATAAAACCTCCGAGCCAAAGGGATTACAAAAGCAAATCTAATATGGACTACTTGATGAACTGTTCTGGGACAATGCCATTTGTAACCCAATTTCCACCACAATAATCCTGACATTTCTCAAAGCCTGAACAAAAGAGGCACACCTGTTTATGAAGGTGCGAAATTTACTTCCATTTTTGAAGGTGTTTAACATGCATCTACCTCAAGGCCACATGGCACGTGTATGTGAAGGATTGTAGGATAAACTGTGAACCGATGCTAACAGCATTTATAGTTTTTATTGTTTTTTTTTTTTAATAAAGCTTCACTCAAATGGATGCGTTTTCTTTGTATAGCCTGCAGATGGCGGTAGAGTGGCGCATGATGTCGTTTGCTTTAGTACTATTGTCATTTTGATAAAATAAGTACAGTATAATGTAACTTAGATAGATGAACTACATGACGTCACAAAAAAAAAAAAAATAAAAGTTACATTTCAAATTTTTCCAAGTATGTTAGCAAACAAGCACTGCACACAACACACAATGTGATAAGAGAAGACAATCACTCGATCAATCAACAATACACAATGTTCAGGAAAAATGAGGTCATTAAAAATAAGCGAAATTCTTGATTCGCTCGGTATTTTATCAGGAGCTTTTCTTTTTGCTTCAGTTTTTTTGTCAGATGTATCAGCAACAGCATGCTCCACGCAGTGATTCAAGACCTTGCACAATTCTTTTAGAGTCCAGAGTGCAGTGAGATTCGCCATCATGACAGTCACGGCGCCAGTAATAAGATAATTAAAACCAAATGAATAAATCTTTCATTCGTCATGACCCAGATTAGATGGATTTAGACATTTACTGTGTATTGTTTTGTTCTCTCTAGCTTGAGCTCAGAGTTCAACAGAACTGGTCAAATGGTCTATTTTCACTGCCACCTACTTTGTTTTGTTTGTTTGTCCGCACAATTCCACACAAAATAAACACAACCAATTTCCACGAAACCCTGTGGAGAGCTTTGCCCTTTCTGCCAAATTTTTATTTATTGGCCTGAATGACCACATTCAGGAATAGGCAGCATCCAGAAGGGTGTATTATGTTTTTATTTATATTATTATGAGTAGTAAGCAGCAGTAGTAGGAATTAAGAACAATACTACTCATTATCATAATTGTTAAAATTGTCAAATTATTGAAAGGTTTGTACATTTCTGACATTTTTTATACTTTATTCATTTGGTTAATTCTTCTATTTATTATGAATAGTAGTAACAGTGCAGTATTTCTCATTATTTCAGTTTAAGATTTCTAAATTAATGCAATAAAAAGTCATGGTATTTTTTTTTCTTTTACCCTATGTACTATGTTGGGCTTTCTGCCAAATTTTTATTTATTGGCCTGAATGACAACATTCAGGAATAGGCAGCATCCAGAAGGGTGGATTATGTTTTTATTTGTATTATTATGAGTAGTAAGCAGCAGTAGTAGGCAATATATATATATATATGTGTGTGTGTGTGTGTATGAAAACAGTCCTTAAAGAATGAATGCAGAATATTGAATTTGAATTGTTAAATACAACTGAACTGTACTTGGGCAGTTATTCTTTCATGTACCACTAGAGGGAGACTGATACAACTACCACAGTTTGAGAGTCACTGTTCTATACGATTAGTAATGTTGTTTTAAGAAGTCATCACTATCATCATAATGGATATAAAGTCATTATCATAATTGTTAAAATTGTCAAATTATTGATAGGTTTGTACATTTCTGACGTTTTTTACACTTTATTTGTTCGGTCAATTCTTCTATTTATTATGAATAGTAGTAACAGTGCAGTATTTCTCATTACTTCTGTTTAAGACTTCTAAATTAATGCAATAAAAAGTCATGGCATATTTTTTCCTTTACCCTATGTATTATGTTGGCCGGGTCTCTCTCTCTCTCTTTCGCTCTCTCTCTCTGTGTATGTGTGTGTGTATATATATATATATACACACACACACATACACACACTCCTTTCTCCATGTTGATGCCGTCAGCAACCAATGGTGCGAATGTGTGCGCTGTGACGAGCTGGTAAATGATTGTTAATGTCGGGGCAGCTGGGCTGAAAAAGGGAGGAAGAGGCCAGTTGGACAAGGAGATGCTGCTTATGGAAGCAGCGCCTGCTGACGTCCAAGCACCTTGCGGTCATGTTGAAGCGACGTGTCTTCCGGGTGAGGAATGCTCTGTTGAGAGAGTGCATGGCCGAGTTCTTGGGCACTTTTGTCTTGGTGGTGAGTAACATGCTGATCAGCTCATTTGGATTTAAAATCAACTGTCAAAGCTGCTATGATACTCAGAAAGGTGTTGTACCCATGACAGTAATAAATCGAGTCTATATGTAGTGTATATTATTGTACTCTATCAGTATGAGCCAAGCATTGTGATGACAGCAATCAAATTCGATAATTAGTAAGTCCTTTGAGGCAACGTGATGTCATTATTTCCACAAAATTGCTTTATGACTATGATATGGCTGTCATCGTCTTATAAATAATTTGGAGTGTATAATAATGATAATATATTGATACTTTTTTGCGACAATATTTCTCTATCTACTGGAAGTGAGAACCAGTCACTAGAAAAACCATTGCATTTTAGCATGACTACTAATTTTTAAAATCTCTAAATAACACAATTCTTCGTGTTACAGGGGGAAAAAAAGTTGAAAATTACATCAAAACTCTTCATGTGTCAATGTGACCCCGCTGCATGTTTGGTTTTTTTTTTCTTCCGCTTGACCGGACCGGTGTAGAATTTAGTATCATCTAGTGGTGAACTAATAGAATGCAACGACTCGAGATCGAAACGCGTGCAATTTGAAGCTCGCGCACGACAGTGCCTCAGATATCACATAGTTCGTAAACAACCACCCGTTTATTTCAGCAGAGGTACAATCAATATGTTATCCCTAACGACTTTTATAATTCTTTGAAATAGATAGAGTAAATGCATCGCATGATATGACACGTTTTATTTTTAATGTTGAGGAACTACGTTCATTAAGTTTGTCTTCTTCGGCCATCCGTAGCATAAAGACGGTGGCGAAACATGGCGGCTTCCTGATAATTATAACAAGCGATTACGTAGTTGACCTGCAGCTGCATTAAAATCAATACATTACACACTCCCTTTGAAGAAATAATAAAATATTGGACCTGTGCTCTGTGAAATTATAGCATGACCTTGAGAGGCCCTCTAAAAGACAGCGGATTAATGTCATTTGATCTGATGAATTAATCTATTTTGGTCAGTTACATTGCGAGACGAATAAAGGTTTTCTTATCTTATCTCTTTTGGTCAGTTTGACTGAGCAACAGATTTTTGTCTGCATTGTTTAAGGACAGAGATTCATCTAGTATTTTTTATTTTTATTTTTTGTCTGTGCCACCAAGCTTTTCGGCTGCTCCGCGGCAGCGCAGGTGAAGACCAGCAGGGAGACCAAAGGCCAGTTTTTGTCCATCAACATGTCCTTCTCAGTGGGCGTAATGTCGGCCATGTATCTCACCAAAGGCATCACAGGTGCTGTTCAAACTTTAGACCTTTTCTTATACTAATATTTAAACTATACGGCATCACCCAGGTGAGTGTAAGGCCCAGCATTAAAAACTTGAATGTGACATCATCCTCTCTTTCTCCCACTGTCACTTGTCGCTTCTGCAGGGGCCCATCTGAATCCGGCCGTAACGCTCAGTTTCTGTGTGTTGGGCCAGGTGCCATGGAAGAGGATGCTGCCCTATTGGCTCTTCCAAGTTCTGGGAGCATATGTTGCATCAGCGCTTGTCTACATGGTCTACTTCGGTCTGTCTTTTGGCTCTCGTACTATTTTTGGGGAGTTTTGGATCTTGGACTCGCTGTAATGCGTTAGTTTGAATGAAGTTGCAAAACAAAGTACAGGTATGAGTAAAACTATTCCAGAATAATTCAAACTGATGAATGTCGTGATATTTCTACTCCAAGGCATACTCCAAGCAACAAAATGCAGCAATTGTAAGATGAGATAAAGCTTCAGTCGCACAACAGTGGGAACGTTCACATGTTACGCAACAGCAAAGAGCAAAGTGTTAACGCCTGATTGTCAGGATAATAAAATAACAAGTTATCTTTTAAAAAGCCAGGATAAAGGTAAAATCTACATTTACTGTACATCTACATTTGGAATATGGGAGGGTTTGTTTGCACAGAATGGTAAAAATGACAGCTCAGCTTGTGATCGTCACATGGCTCAAACTCAGAAAACAGGTGAGCCATGATCAGTTGTTACCTGAGCCCGGAACAACCGTGATGTGATGTAATTTTCAACTGACAACACTTGGCAAAAAAAAAAAAAAAAAAAAACTGGTGGATTTTGCTGTTTAGTTAACCCTTTCAGAGACAGCGGTTACTTCAGTGGACAGCTTATCATGTTATCAGATTACAGGGTGCATGAATGCGTTAATATTCCACAAATACAATATTACCGTAATCACAAGATTACGGGGCCACAGGGAACACATGATTGTAAAGATTTTTTTTAGACTTAACTTTGCTTGAGTCATTAAATTAAAATAATTAAATACATGTTTTGTTTGAAAAATCAACATGAAGTATGGCAAATATTCAATACATTTATGAAAAAATTGCAAATGTATCAAATTTAAGATACCTTACCGTATATATTTTAATAAATTTAAAAATTATAATTATTTTAGGTATATAAATAAATGTTACATAATACGTTTTTAATTAGGCTGAACTATTTCATAAGAACAAATATAAAATACTATTGATTTTTAATTTAATTATTTAAAACAGCTTTTATCCATTAAATATGGTTTCTTTAAAAATTGATGTTTGATAGCAAATTAACATAAAACACAAAAAAAAGAAACATCAAAACAGGGTTTTAATATTTTAGAAATGTTTTGGTGTTTGATGTAAATATAGCCCTAAAATACTACAAATATGTAAACTAATTATTACAGCAAAAATATTTGATCAAATGATATATTTATATCAATAAACGATTACGGTATTTTGCCTTTTACAAATGCGAATGTTTTATTTTCCCGTTTCAACCAAAGCAAATCTATTTGGATTTATGTCTTAGATGCAATCATGGAGTTTAGTGGCGGAATACTGACTGTGTATGGACCAAATGAAACGGCGTCCATATTTGCCACATATCCCTCCGAGTACGTCACCTTGGGCACAAGTTTCCTCGACCAAGTCAGTTTATCGCAATACTTTTCTACTGTATATTTATCGTTAGTCTCATAATGTGGCTGATGTTTGTCATCATCAGGT